CTGTTTTCTGCACAAAATTTCCACTATTGGACTATGGCAAAAATAAATGATATATATTCAAAATATTCAAAAATTTATTTTGTTATCAATTGAGTACATATCAACCGCTCACCCTTCGACATTACTGTCACAAACACAGTCACGTGACCAAAATGAATAGAGGGTGGAATGTTCTTGGGTGCAGAACAGAAAATAACAAAGAGAAACTGAAAAACAATTAAAATTAGGATTGCAATAAGATATAAACAGAGTTATAAAAACAGATAGTTCCGGTCCTTGATTCAGTTCGAAGCTGTTGTAAATTACTCTTCAAACATACACCTTTGTTTTACGTTTGTGTTTTGCTCGGCAACCACTTTGTTGCAATCACAACCGATTCTGAGGCACTGCATTGTTTGGTGGAAACAATGCTTCGCGTCGTGCTTAACAATACCCCTTAGCTGGTATAAATTCACTGTAAACCATGGCTTCTTGGGGCTTATTGCTTTAATATATTAGGGAGTAGAGATGGCAAAATTAACAAATGAGTGATCCTCTGCAGCCATCTTCTGGTTATAGTGGTAGTATCATGTCATTTTCATTTTAAAAGTGTTTATTTATCACTAGGTGGCACAATCGTCCACTTAACCATGACATATTTTTTCATGAATTGTCGCCATGAACAAAATTGAAAAATCCGGTTACACTTTATTTTAAGGAGTCCTTGTCACGGTGTAATTATTCATTTAAGTACTGCGTAATATTAATGAATGTACTCACTATATAGTTAGGATTAGGATTAGGGTTTAGTTTAGGTTATACTTGCATGTAGTTATGCATAATTTACTATTATTATAATAGTAAGTACACGTAACATGTGTAACAAGGACACCTTAAAATAAAGTGTTACCAAAAATCCTGATCTTCTTTAAAGTGAATTTTACATATAATGTTCCGATTTTATATACAAATATACAAAATGTGAATAATTTTGAGGCAAATAATAATAATAATAATAATAAATAAACAACAAAATAAAATGTTCTGCCTGGGGTCAACGGACAGGTTAAAGGGGGTGTTTTACAATTTTTTTTTTTAATTTAACTGTATTTTAATGTAAAATTATGTGAAATGTCCCATTAGATGTATTACAGTTTTTAACCATACAGTAAAGGAACTTACCATTAACCAATTAACAGGTTTTTACTGTAGCATTGCCTGTTACTGTTGAAATTATGACATACTGTATAGTACGCCTGAATTGTAACAGAATCTCTTTCATAAAATCATGATTTTACCCGCTTATACTATTGCTAAACTCTATAATCTTCAGCTGGCAGTAATGGAGGTCTGCAGGTAACTGCTGCAAGCTTTTTGAATGGCACAGTCCATGATTACAATTGAAACTTGGATAATGGAAATGTGTCTGAATAGCAGTTAGGGTAAAACTTATGCCCTCTTTGTTTTTCAAGTGTCAAGGCATGGGAAGAATTTTCAATTAAACTCTGTGGATTGTGGCCAACAAACGGGAGAAGACTTCAAGGCTAACTACAGGCCTGACACTTGTCTGAGGTGGGAAGATTGATGGCGGCACTTTTAGCATTTTAGAAGGGGGTCACCCTCCGTTAAAAAGGGGGCACTGAGGGAAATGTCACCAAATGAAAGCAGTCAGCTCGGAAATCCTCAGTGGAACAACAGCAACATCGATCCTACAAACTCAGGAAAACAAGAGTGGGCATAGAAAAGCCAAAGACAAACTGGATTAAATCGAGGCTCAAATAATAATGCTTTCACAGTCTTAAACACAGAGCCATGAACAACATTACAGCTCTGATCCAAAACCTCTTGGGCAGCCAGACTTTTGACTAAACGGCAAAAGGTCTGGTCAACATTGCAGCTTCTTCTCGCCAAGAACTGCCTACTTAAACAGTAAGAGATGGCCTATAAAGCAAACATCCACACTGCATTTGTTTTTACCAGCTGTCTATATCGATGTGCCCTTGTGAAAAAGAAATATACTTTAGCTTCTGAAATAGACTTTTCATCACATCAGCCTCCTGCTAATTCTGAAACAGGAGCAAGTCACGTCAAAGCTCAAGGGTGAAAATATAGATTTCAAATCAATACCAACTCTATAAACTATATGGTAGGCTAAAATTAGATCACTTTCATTATAATAAATTAATTCAATACTTCAAGTACTTGAAGCAATGTCTCACTATGCCTCTTCAGAGAGCTTCACAGATCCTGTGGCCGAGAAGCAGTAACATCACTATTTTGGAGGTAAAAGGTGCACAACAGTGCAGAGGTGATGTTTACAAGCATCTGACGAGCTGAACTACATCCTCAAGACAGATCAGACATATACAGACTACAGCATCATTCTCCTCTCGGCACAACACTCATTAAACATCCACAAATCAATAGCAGTGGCTTCTGGAGGTTTGTCTGGAGACCAGGGTCATCCTGCGTGTCAGGGGCAGTCTTCCTCAATGATCTGCTCTTCACTTCATTCATATTATATGTCATCATCTGTACCCCACTGTCAATGCAACTGTGCCCTGTTTTACTAGTCACAACTACTATTACTAGCCATAGTGATGTACTTTCTGTCAAACTCCATGTTCAGATACACAACAATACAAGCATCATTTAGCTGAAGAGTTTATGGAAATGACACTTGTACTTGTAAATCAGTCTGCAGCTCTCATTGCTATATGGAGACGAGAGACATGCAGCACAACACATTTGAGCACAAGTGAACTCACAGATGCCATAAGAGATGACTTCCTTATCATAACTTATTCGTTTTTCTTTGCACATAATTCACAGAGAGTTGAAAAGTGGATATGTATGCAGTCACTATAGGATGAAGATTACCTGAGAGATGTTTATATCTGCATCCACACTGTATATTCAGGGGGTAATTTGATTAGGTCTCATATGTATTCATGTGGCTTACAAAACTCTTGAAGCAGAGGCACAGCCCAAAGCTTTTGTGTTGAAATGTGCTACACTCATCAGTGGTTATATCATGGCTATATGGCTAGCTGAAGTACTGACTCCTATAACTAAGCAACGTGGCGCCATCTCGTGGAAAACACGAATAAGAGCATTTCAGCAACTTTAAGTAACTTGAAGCATTTCAGTAACATTATTTACACCAGTGGTTCCCAACCCTGGTCCTGGAGGCACCCCAACACTGCATGTTTTGCATGTCTCCTTAATCAAACACACTTGATTCAGGTCATCAGCTCATTAGTAGAGACTCCAAGACCTGAAATTGGTGTGTGTCAGAGAAAGGAGACATGCAAAATGTGCAGCGTTGGGGTGCCTCCAGGACCAGGGTTGGGAACCACTGATTTACACCATCGTGTTGTTCCAAACCTACTTTTTTTCCCATTTGTAGTGGAACACAAAACATGAAATTGTGAAGAATCTGAACATAGAAAGACGTTAAATCATCTGTGCTCTTCTCATATAAGACAATGAAATCATTTAGAGATGTATAGGGTTCATTAAAGTCATACATTTGTGTATTTTATTGGGCACAGTGTCTACATTTATGTATGCATGTATGCATGTATTTATTTATTTAGCAGCAGCAGTACACAGTACAAAAATCACAGTCCAAACTATAATTCAGAAATGTCCAATACTGTAATTTTTGGTTTCACAATGAGGATCCAATGATCAAAAGATCAATTTCCTATTTCACCTCACTGCAGAATGATACATAAGAAATAATCATTCTGTCAGCAAACACAAAACAAATAACAACCACAGGCCAAACTGATAAATCCATAAATAAATGCATATTTTGTATCGAGCTAAAAAAAAAAACTCCAGAGTATCCCCCAGTGGTAAAGATTGCAATAACAAGGGAGAAAGTAAACGCACCCTCAAATTGTTACATCAATACCTTTAAATGTGTTTCACTTCACTTTAATTATTTTCCCCTCATTTTTTAAGAGTGCTGAACTTTGCCATGATTTTTTTTTTTCTGGACCTTTCTCCCATCCAGACTTTTTAACGTCCCCTCTGTAACATCACAGACATCACACGTTGTTTTGACAACTGTCCTTTATTTCTCATCACAGCAGGCCCATGAACTCGTGAATGGTTTGTGATAATAGCTTCAGTGATTATGTGTCCAACATTGCCCTAATTTATCTGATAATGTGTACTATTTATAGTGAAATGATCGATCACTTTTATTTTAAGTGTCCCTCCTAGTCTCTATTAGTTCATTGCAGTACATGCAGAGTTCAACATAATCACATTCAGTCTAATTTGGTGTGACACTGTTTGTTTTTAGAGGAACTCACCTGTTAGTCTCATAAAGTAGCTGCACATGTAGGAGTAAAGGGTAATGAAGTAGTAGAGATAAAAGGAAAAATCAAAGCACTCTTCATGAATATAAAGTGGCAGGAAATGTGGGACAGGGAAACAACAAAAAGAAGTAAGCAAAGAAAGAATATGTTTCAACAAAAAGAAGAACAATTAGCCTATTTTCAAGACTATGAGTGGACATTCTGGTTTTAAAAACATCAAATATCAAACAATACACATTGTGTATGCCCTGTGGTGAAGTCGAAACAAATTCTGAAAACTTTGCTTTCATTTTTAAATCTTGTGCAATATATTTTTTACTTGCGTTTTTTAATTTTGTTTTCATGCTTGTTCTTTTTTTATCCGTGACTGCAATACTTTAGGCGGGATTCTGATCCCATACAATTGAGCATGTACTACTACATTGTGCAGTATTTACTAAGGAAAGAGAGGAGTTGGTTAAGAAATTGCGAGATCTAGGTTTAACCCATTTTAATCTACCAGAGCTATTAAACTGTGATGTAGGGCAGTCCAAAATACAAAGAGAAATACTTATATTATTAACAGGATCTCTCTCTCTCAATCCGTGAATACGTTCTCCTTCCATTCTATTGATGCTTCACACTCCAGTCCAGCTGGCGGCAGTAATACACCATCAGTTGGCTTGTCAACCGACATTAAACAGTACCAGAAGAAGAAGGTGAAAGTGAAAGTGAAAGCGTTCATATCGGATGACTAGACGCTATCTCGCAGGGTTCAAAACCAGAAAATACCTTCACGTTACGGTAAGTTCGTTATAACGTTTCATAGCTGTAATATCAATATAATAACAGACATGTCACATAAGGTACATGCAGGGGTGCATTAACACAGGCCTGAATCCAGAGGCCTACACTGAAGAGGGGCCTAGCTGCACGTAAACTATATTTTTCGTATAATTATTTGCATATATGGGAGTTTGCAGCAGTGACAGCAATATTCTAGAAACAAACACACACTCACACACTCGTACATGTTCAGGACTCGCAACGGCATTTTCGGCGTCGCCCTGCTGTGTGAAAGAAACCGGACGAGTTTTCTGTAACATCATACAGTGCGAGTTCAGTAACTTACTGTGCGTACAGATGCGTGGATATCATAGAAATGCATAGGTATATTTGTGGTCAGGGGCGCCATATGCACTCATTATTTTTTAGGGGGCGTGAGTGAGTGAGTGAGTGAGTGAGTGATTGAGTGAGTGAGTGTGTGTGTGTGTGTGTGTGTGTGTGTTTGTTTGGGGGGGGGGGGCCTTGTCATGTGACACACAGCAGCCACAATATCACTGTATAACTGATATGGGCTTATGTTTTATTTTTTTCCTTTTTATTCGAAATATTCCCAAACGTGTTAATCATGCAATTTCTCGATTCTCAAATATGTGTAAGTATATGCATTTTGTGCCTTTTGTAGATTGTTAGTTGATCCACAACAGGTGATGGAAGTAGCCTAATAGTGTAATCTATTAGCTAAAACCCCGATCTTTTTACTTAAGTACCACCAGATATGGGTTTCATGCCATAAAATATTTTTAATACGACTGACTTTATTTCATGTGAATTTAATAAAAACATTGTAAGTTACTAATTATAAGACTTTCACTGTACTGAAAGAGAGCAAAGAACATTTACATTATCAAAGAACATTTTCATTTAGTTTAGCCAGAGTTCAAGCACTCTCAAAAACTCCCATTATAATTACTTAAGCTGTGTACAGGCTATTCGTTCCTACAACTTATTAATTTGTGGCCACTGTCCATGTTTCATTAATTTTGTTCCTTAAATAACCCATGATTTAACTAAAATGAGGGAACAAATTAATACATCGAACAAATTCTTAATTCATGGCCATGAAATCTTTAATTTCCTTTAGATGCGAAAACGGTGATTAAAAAATGAATGACAATCAAATAAACCTCCGAAATTAGAGGGATAGACGGTGAGGATTTAGGAAAAGAAACAATGCCTAAATATTAATAAAAACGCACACCCCACATATTCTAGCAATTCAAACTTACATCACAGTCTATTCATTATCAAAATAAAATAGTCAACCAAACATATAAAAGGTTACACTGGTCAGTTTAAATAGACCGTAGTATACCGGCTCAATTACTGATTCTAGTATTTTCAGCCAAATTCTATGATGGCGTAGAAGGTCCTGCGTGCTTTATCTCTCAGTTAATTCACAGCATGATTAAAGTTTCCCGTGGATGTGATTTTCAAACCCAGGTAGTTGTAGTGTGATGTGTGTGTTATCTGCTTAGTGCCTAATGTAAATGTGTGTGGTGTTCCCTGGGATCTGGATCTTTTCTGAAAGATCATAATTTTGGTTTTCTTCAGGTTGACTGTCAGAGCCCAGGTCTGGCAGTATTGTTCTAGCAGATCCAGGTTCTGCTGTAAAGCGTGTTGAGTGGGAGACAGCAGAAGCAGATCGTCTGCATACAGCAGGCATCTGATCTGTGAGTTGTGTAGGGTGAGGCCAGGGGCTGCAGATCGCTCCAGACTGCTCGCCAGTTCATTGATGTAGATGTTAAATAGCATTGGGCTTAAGCAGCAGCCCTGTCTCACTCCACGCTCCTGGGAAAGATACCTCGTACGTTTGGTGCTGATTTTTACGCCACATTTACTTTCAGTGTACATTGATTTGATAAGGTCATAGGTTTTACCTCCTATGCCACTTTCAATAAGTTTGTAGAATAGTCCTTGGTGCCAAATTGAGTCAAAAGCTTTTTTAAAGTCAATAAAGCATGCATATATTTTACCTTTATCTTGGTTAAC